TCTGGCGGCCAGTCTTAATTTGTTTAGCTAGAAGCATTTGCCGAAAAACCGGTGCCGGTAGCAACAGTAACTGTGGGGAACCATGCAAAAAACGCATCTTCGCACGGGCAGCCCGTGCGTTGGCGAATTATTTTATGATTCCTGTAACTGGTTGTTTCTAATGACAGCCTTGCCACCAAAAATTTTCATCAGAACTGCATGAAGAAAGCAACTGAGCTTGTACTGGGGTCATACTTTTGGTGTTATTCGAATGTTCTCAGATACATTTGTTTTTATCCCATTTGATCGGCATCGGCCATTGTTTTTCTTTTTTTCTTGTTTTGCTGGGGGCATTTACTGGTACAGCTGACATAGGCTATAAGTTTTTCTTCAGGGCAGAACTGGTACAATCCATTTTATCCGTTTTCCAACGGACAGAATGCTTGATTTCATCCATCTGGTGAAGAGGAAGGGCTTCGCTAAAATGAGCAGTACAGTGTGCGCCACTGGCGGCGGCTCTCTCAAATACGCCAAAGATGCTGAAAGGGTTTGTTAAAATCTCACTGAAAAGAGACGTTTGTCAAACTCAGCTGATTCAAAATCGTTCGAGCTTTTCATTTTGCCTCCTCTCTGGACACTCAGATGTTTCAAACTTGGCATTGGCTTATTGCGTTTCAAAAAACAATTTATCCCAGTTTTACACTAAAATGGCACTACTTTACCAAAATATCACTTATGCCGCATTTTAGCTATCAGCTCCTCCAAATTTGCATTTCGCAACTCAGCGCTTTTTTGCTTTCCACACTCTTCGACGAATTCCCGCGTTTTCAGCTTTTTTTTTTTTAATATTCCTTGGAATCGAACTTTGTGCTACTGATCGTTTTCCCCATCACTCCAGGTCGATTTCTACATAATCTAATAAAGTGGGCATCTTTTTGGTCTGTGCTTCTGAAGTTAAATTAGAATATATGCATTCTAACAGCATCTGTGCAATTCACCACATGAGATAATTATAGCGTTTTCATTCAAAATCTAAAAAAGCTTGAATTGCAGGAACTTGGTTTACACTTGCACAAATCGGACGAATTAGAATCCCTAATCAAAGGTATCGAATTTGTTGCTGCAACAAATCCTGACGAATGTTATTATTATGAAGATCCTCTGGATGATGCGCTGTGTAGGAAAGTGATTTGGTATGTTTTGCTCTTTGTTCAAAATAAACCCGGTGCTACGATGGTCCCGATTTTTGTGTTCCAGGCGGTGGTCTCATGGTCGTTGCTCAACTTCGGATCATGTTCCGCAAGGTGAAAAGAAGGATGGCTTACAGTATCCATATATTGTTTGCAACGTTGGTAGTGGTGTTTCTGTGCTGGCAGTTCGTGGTCACAATCAGTTTGAGCGTATTGGAGGCAGCAGGTAGTCGTAATTACTCCAAAATAATGCTTTTTTCTTTTTGAAGAATATAAACATTTTTATTTAATTGATTTTTTGGAGCGCAAAAATTGCTTGTAAATTTTGTTAGCCCTATTTTGGTTCACTCATTTGATCAGTGCTTTTCAGTATTGGTGGCGGTTTTTTCCAAGGAATCTGTGCAATTATGTGCGGATGTGAAACATTCGAAGAAGCCATTGAGCTAGCTTCACGCGGTGATAATAAAAATGTGGATAAGCTTGTGAAGGACATTTATGGTACAGGATATGACAGAATGGGCCTTCCAGGAGACATCGTTGCTGCAAGGTGAGGCTACTGTTTTATTATCGAAAACAAAAAGAGTTACTTCTCAAGGGAATTTGTGGGAAAAATTCCTGCAACTCTGATGGTTCTCTTTTCTTACTTAAGTAGCAGGCCTGCAGGACAGTGATCCTGAGCTTTGGCTGTATTATTTTTTTAAAAAAAAAATCCCCTACAAGCGGTTTTAGTATTAAAATTCCTCACAAATTCCTGTCAACTTATCACTGTGATCCATTTTTTATAGCAAGTTAAATAATTTAGTTTCGGGAAGATATGTAACAAGAAGGATCGTAGTAAGGCACGAATTGAGGATCTTGCCCGTTCGGCGCTTGTTACCACAACGAATAACATTGGTTCCATTGCTTTTAATGGAGCCAAAACATGTGGCATTGATCGAATTGTGTTCGTCGGTAATCTGTTTTGTATTTTTATAAGTGGGATCTGTACTGATTTCATGCTTTTAGATATTCATTGAACCTCTGGCGAAATTTTTTTACTTGCTTGATTTTTTTTAAAAGAAACCCTGCTCCATTACAGGTAACTTTCTGCGGGTGAATCCTATTGCTGCTAGATTATTGAGCAATGCTATGACTTTCTGGTCGAAGGGAACTAAAAAAGCATTGTTTTTAATACATGAGGTAAGTAATGAATCGGTTTTTGCAGTGAGCAAATGGAACTTGGTAAAAAGTTTCCTTTCAATCGCTTCCCAGGATTGCAGTTACAGCTTACCCAGGATTACAATTACTCTTTCATTAATAGTCAAAAAGCAACAAGCTGAAAAGACTGTGTCTTCTTGGTATGTGTGCTTATACCAAGTACAATAAGATAAGCCTAGAGAGAATTTAATTTTTTCGCTTACGGGATCAATGTCGGCTTCAGCTTAAAATAAGTACACATTTTTGTTAATAGAAATATAATGAAATAGGAAGGGAAATGAAAGAGGAAATTGCGAAATAGGAATTAAAAAATTAGTAAAAGTAGTAAAAGTTATTTTAATAATATTTCTGTAATGCTGAGAAATGTTTCGGTTCATTTAGTCGTATACATTTCTTACCTTTACCACAATTGGACCTCGTGCCTGCCGCCCAATACACTTTGTAGTATTGGAACATTCAATGAGAAATTCTTGCACCTTGGATAATACATTTCAGGGATATTTTGGTGCTGTTGGTTGTATGGATCAGCTGGTGTATGTTACTGAGGCAAGACGACAGATACGCGCTGAAAATGAGCAGCAACAGGACAACTGCAATGACTTGGCTGAACTTAAGTTGGAGTAATCTGTGAGCAAAAAAGTATCTTCTGACAACCTCAGCCAGAAATGCTCAATTGTTCGCCTTTGATTGGTTTAGCAAGCGGGCAAGCAGTAGTGCGTCATTTTGCTGCTACGCTTATGTCCTGCTTCCATTCGTTCTTTTTTGCACAGTTTCAGTTTTGAAACTCTGCCACCTCTCGTTTGATACGCTATGTGATGTTTTTCTTGACATTTTCTCCGTTATTACTGCAGGCACTTTTTTCAGCCACTAGGGCTTCTTGAAGCAAAAAAAAAAACCAGGCACTTTCGGCGTATTTTCTGTTTTGATGCTTTGAACAACGGTTCTTTCGTTGTTGTGCCCTGCGTTTTTGAATCAAACAAAAAAATGCGATTGTCATTTTCGCACAGCCACTGCCTCTTTTGTTTAGCATGAGCGTTATTGTTAATGATATTTTCTTTTTTTTTTTCTTTCATGATATTTGTCTTTTGACGATCTGTGATATTCACTTCAGTATCAGTGGGCTCGTCCCCCGTTTTTCTCTTTTCTCTTAATCGTTTGTAAAGACTAGTAAGTAAACTTTTGTCTGAAATATGCACATTACGTATTTGTGTGATAAGTGTTTGTGTGTTTTTGTCCTTCTTTTACACTTCAGAAGTGTCGGGGCAGTTAATGCTTGCTTGTCTGATCCTAATATTCCGTCTATGGGCTTCATGTATGTTGTTGTTATCATCAGTAGTGGGTCATTTTTTTTTCTTTTTTGCAAAATCTATTCCAGGACATTATTACCTTCTGTTGTTATGTTGTGTTAATTGTTACATTTGTTCCATTCTCTTGAAATTAGCTCCACGAAATTGATCATGCATTCTTCCATGTTCAGATTCCTTTTCTTTCGCATCACCAGTTACTGTTGCCTGTTTTTTATGATAATTTTAATTTCATAACCGATAAATGTTATGATTCTCCAGCGCTAGTAGTGCATTGCAGAAAAAGTTTTGGTTCACTCATAATCCAAAATATCGATTTCTGATGCTACTATCTGGGTGAGTTTTTAACTTCTGTCTGTGTGATAGTGTGACTTTGAAAGTTTATTGCTCTCTAAATGTTCTGTTTTTGCGAGTTACTCATTCATGGCGTAATGTAGTAGATGAATGTAAAAATAAACGCCTCCTGGATTTACACTTTTGGAGATTTGTCATCCTGGATATGGATAAGATGGACGACTCTATACAGTGGCAATTTGACCGAGGATTTCGTAGAAGGCAGTTTCCGCTGTGTTGCCAGCGTTTTTTTTTTTTGGCAAACTGCGTTTACCAAATTAACTGAGTGGATGTCTTGGGTTGGGGCACGTCAGAAAGTTTGTTTCCGGATTTCTCGTCTTGAGCTCGCACATCCACGCTCTGAGCTATTTGATTTGTGGCTCAAGTCATTTCGATCTACAAAGTCTCGCTCGCATGGAAACGAGTGGTCGCATTGTCAGGGATTGCATTCCCGAAATTTGAGCAAAAAATGCAGGATAAGAATCTCGGTGGTTTGGGAATGAAACACACTTTTTTAAAACATTTCACTTTTCCATTTTTTGATGTATAGCCCTTTGTCAAAAAAGAGTGCTCAAAGAAAATGGATGCCATCCTGAAGGAATAGTTTAGACTTTTTTGCGAGAGTAACATACATTTTTAATTGAAGATATACTCACAAAAATGCACCAGGAACTGTGGTGCAGTAGCGTAGTGAGGGAAATGGAGGGACGAGGGAGGGTGCGCCAAATCAAAGTACAACATTAAATTGCGAAGTTTCATAGGCGCTGTACTAGAAGAGATGCGTCATTTTTTTGTTTCTGCGCCACAGTCGAAATTCATATGCTGCTTAAATGGTGTCAGAAAGTCGTTTCGTAGAAATTTCTTTCCCCAACTCTTCTTTGTCGGCTCCCTCTCCCCCTTTCTTAAAAAATAGTCAAAGGAGTATAAAATAAACTCGCAAGTTGCACTGTGCAGTAATGGGTTCTTCTATGCAGAAAGACAGAGAATATGAAGATGGGGTCGTCATGGTCACGGGACGGTATCTTGGGTTGCGAGATAGGGAGTTAGCAAAAATCCAGGAAATTTCAAATTCACATTATTACCTTTGCGTAGCTTACAAGCATATATGGCAGCATGAGGCAAAAGGCTCTATAAGAGGTCAGTGAGGCTGTGCAACGTGTGCTCATTTCAGGGCCACACTGAGAACGAACCGGGGAGGGGGATTGGGACACCTAATCGAAACTCGCTTTCTTAGCACCCCTGAGGGCTGACTTTGTTTCTCTGGGTTTGTACTGCTTCTCTGAATACGACTTGATCTATGCATAGATATCTTTTTGTATCTATGTCTCTGTGTTATTCGTCCTACGCGAGGAGCTACGAAAATCGGGAAGCTGTAATCCTGGAGGTATGTGAAGTCGACTTCCCAATCTTTTGCTCCTCTCTCGACCTTTGGTCTCGGATCGTCTACTGTTAGTGCCTGGGAGCACAGGTGGCTATAAATTTAGAATTTTAAAGTTTTTATTCATTGCTCGATACGAGTACATGTATGCAGCATTCCAGGACCCCCTCTGCCTAGATCTGTAATGATTGCAAAACCGAGTTCAGACTGATATTGCTAATCCAAAGCTAGAAAAAATATGTGCTCGGAGTTTTCTGAGTTCATTTTCTCAGATAACGCCGGATGAGTAAGCTAAAACTCAGTATGTCTGGCATAGGATATTCAAGCCCCAGTTTAAAAAGGGGGGAGGGGGACAGACTATGAAATTCACCTGAAACATCAGGAAGTGTTGTTCGATCATTATCCATGTTCCTGCTCTTCCTTTTCATTATTTTCTAAATTTATCCCCTCTTTAAAATTAAAAATTTACTTCATTTTATTTTTTTTAGCAAGACAACTAGTTGTGGCGCTGAATAGAATTGTATATGACTTGATGAACCAAAACACCCGTGTTCATCTAATGTTTTAATATAATTTTATATATATAT